CACAGTCCTTGGCAAACTGTTAACACAATACTTGTCGGTAAAGTGTCCTGTCGGTAAAGTGTCTTGTCGGTAAAGTGGGTGTCGGTAAAGTGTCCGGGTCCGTATATAACACATAAGACAAAATTTTGGTACGTGTTTTATTTTTTTTTTTATTTTTTTCTATTTTTATTACTTTTAAATTACGATAGATCGATTACTAGAGTTTGGTGATGATGAAGTTGTTCTTTAAATAATGTTTTTCAATTTACTGTACATCCATAACGATCACTAAAAGTGTACATAAAAGCCAAAATAAGCATTTTCCTGGGGTGATACTTATAGATGACCGTCAACACGTGTTGGCAATGGACATGAATGTTACATGGCGGAGACTGAAATCGCGGAGACTGATTTTTTAGGCATGTGGCTAGATTTACGAAATGCGCCATGCACCAATGTCAATTGACTTTTATGATGAATTTGATTGCGAGGGATGAGGCACGTAGTGCCGAATTGGTAATCTGTATTTTGGCTTTGTATCTTGAATTCGAATTCCAGGTTTGAGGCACGAAGTGCCGAAATAGTATTTGTGATCTGGCTTTGAATGTATTTGATCGAGGACGAGGCACTTTGTGCCGAAATATTATCCCTACTCGGTGATACCCCAAAGTATAAATTTTATAATATAAATTTTCTGTAGTATTTATACCTTGGCGTATCACTTTTTTTCTATACCTGAATTGTATATATCTACTTGGTGATACCTCAAAGAACAAATTTTATGATATATATCTTTCTGTAATAATTATACCTTGGCGTATCACCAATTTTTTTCAAATTATAATTTTGAATATTTTGGGGATAGCATTATATCAAAAAACTTTGGGATATCAACATACCAAGAACTTATGTGTCCCAAAAAGTTTTTATTAGAATTCACATTTAGAATTGACAGAGTTGACAAGATTATATCACCTGTAAATCGCGACAATTTCATTATAAAAAGGACATCTTCTAAGTTAATAAAGATAACTTGCGTTTTTTACAATTTGAGAACCTGTTCGGAAAAACACGTCATCTTCGAGAAAGTAATTTTTACACACCGTGTCAAAAAACTTATCATGCAATTCTTTTTGCCAAAAAATATGTTGTCTTGTAAAGGCGATGTGGCAAAACACTTGAGTCGTACAATCAATATTGTCATACGGTAAAGCTTAATCACATCCCAAAACATGTTGTGTGGCAAAACATTTGAGTCATGCGATAGACAATAACATCGGTGGAGTTCATCACACCACTTTTTCTATGATAATAATAATGTTTGGATTGACAATTGTTGACGTCGTACATGTTGGTCAAGGTTTATCATATATATAAGTTTTCCAGTCTTGCTTGGAAGAGAAAAACGATATATATTCTTAAATTGAAGGTTTTATAATGAACATTGAGGGTGTAATCGTTGACGGACAAAAATGGTTAGATAAGAAATATCCTATCGAAGAAAGAAAAAATATTGAAGAATTGGATATCAGTTCCCAGAAACATTTTAAAGGTCACGCTTATCTAGGAGGAACATTGGATTTGGGGGATTTTGATAATTTAAAAAAATTAAAATGCAGAATTAATTACTTTTCAAATATAGATTTTTCTTCTTTAAGAAATCCTGGGAAGTTAACTTCCATAGACATTTCTGATAATCATATTGAGCCTCAGGCATTGTCCTGTTTTAGCAGATTTGTTAACTTGAAATATCTCAATATTGGTTCAAAATATGAAGAAAGAATTAGAAGAGGTATTTTTAATCGCTTTTATGGTTCTCTTGAACCTTTAAGGAACCTAAGTAAACTTGAAGAGTTACATATCGAGGCCACGAATATCTCTTCTGGTTTAGAATATTTGCCTGATAATTTGCCAGCAATTTATTGTCTTTCTTTCCTTGGCAACAATACTCTGTCAGACAAAATTAGGCGTGAGCTTGAACCTTACGCAGGAGTATATGCAGATTGGAAAAACGCAAACAGAGCCTTAATTGATATGGCTAGAAGAGGAGAAGCTCCAGTTCAAACTGAAACTACTATTACTATTGCCGATTTAATGGAAAGACCACCTATAACAGCTCAGTATTTTAACGGTATAGTGAAAGACCGGGCTACGATTCAGGAAGAGAGGGCTAAAGATCGTGCTATGACGATTTTTGTAGCCATACTCGGGCTTATTGGCACAGTTAGTGTTGCACTTATTACTAAACTTGTAAAATAGTGCTAGTAAATTAACATGTATTATTTTGCTACCATGTAATTATATCTACTGTATAATAATTTTATATACATATATATATTAATGCCTTCAATCGAATAAATTAATTAAATATAAATGTATTATTATGTCCTTCTACAAAAACCCTTTTTACAAGTTCATTGCTGAAAACGTCAACAGGAGATTATTATCAAGTTCATTCTCCAAAATATTTTATCACCCATTACTTCGAATTCCCATTCATCTATATATTCTCAGGAAATCACTTCATCACCTATTTGTTGAACGTTATATTTATGCTTTTGAATTTATGGTTGGCTTATATTATGAATTATAATTTCACATACAACCAAACCTTTATTCAATAATACTAAAACTTAAGCAATAATGTTTTTAATATTTCTTTTAATTAGTACTGCATCATGAACTTATTATTATGACAACAAATTTAGAAATTATCTGCAGAAAATACTAATTTGATTGGATAATTTCCAATATAAAAAAACCATGATTGATATTTATTTTTTTAGATTATCAAAAAAAATTAAAGCAAGCAACAAGTAAATTGTATTATTCAATGACTGTTTGGTATTAGTTATAAAATAAGGGAGACATTTTTAGCAAACCTATAGCTAACAACACCATCATCATCACTAATAAACTAAGAATCAGATCTCCGTGGTAAACCCTAGCTTCCATAATGTGCTCATATATTATTATTTATTGAAATTATTGATTATGTTAGGTTCCAGAATATTTAAAGAAAGAAACTTGTTTGACATTTTATAACACAATAACAACACGTTCCCTTATGTGAAAAAAAAACTTGCCAACATTTATTAATAATTTGACAACTTGCTTATTCCTTTAATACAATAAGGTGCACGATAGCATCGGAGAGAATTATATTGAAGAATGATATGACATATGACACTAGTTCTTTAAAAAATCTAATAGAGAAATATATAATGATAAAACCAAATGATAACAACTTTTAAAATCTCCAGTCACCAGAGTACAAATAAGTTTCATGAATCAATTTTGCTGTCAAAATGTAACAATATGTAGGTAATGGATTTCTTCTACATTGTTGGGTATTATTATGGCTATAGAGAGAATCTAGATATTGCAACAAAGTAGTTAGTCTGTTGTTGGCTTCAATTTTTCATGACATTGAAAAATACATATGGATTCGTAAGCGTTATTGTTGAAAGCTTTATGTGTGGATGTTAATTTTTATTAATATGTAACTAAGAGCGAAATTGAAAATCAGGAGAGAAAGGAACGGAGGAACTTATATAAAAGAGAATGAAAGGGGGTAAACATGATGACGGAATAAAATAGAGGTAGAGTTTTAGAGGTGATCGATAATGCGCTAATCAAGAATACTTTATTCAAAAATGATGATTTAGTAAGATTGTTAAAAGGCACATATTTTGTAATAAATAGCTCACATTCGTTCATTTGATTCTAATATGCCATTTGACAATTGTACTATCTGACAGAATAAACTTTTAAAGATAGGGTTGACCAACTTTCAAGTCACAACGAGAAGTAGATCTCATGTTTAGTGAATATTAATTATACTAATACACCACTAAACACAAATATAATCTATACAAATAATTAGATAATAATAATAATTATTATTAAAACATCTGAGAGACCTACTTCTATTGAAAATATTATATTATTTAAATTACATTATTGAAATATCTTACCATAATCATTCGTCAACTCTTTAACAATATATAAGAAACATGTTTAGAAAGTAAAGCTTCAAACGATAATGGTTTTCTGATTAAGACAATTAATTGTAAGATCTTGAATAAACCTTTACCATAGATTAGTATTCCAAATGATTCTTGGTTTCATTATAATTATGATGGAATTCTTATATCACAGTGATAGCATCATTACTACAATATTAATAAATAGAGGACAATCATCTTCTAACATCCAACTAGATTTTTCAAATGATTTTTATGATACATGGGATTTTTCCTCATGATGTGGAAAAAAACAAAAAAAACATGTACATTCACATTATCTTTGATGACCATTTAATGCTTTTTGAAGAAATTAAAAATTAATTAATATGATTCTCAGTTTCTTCCAATTCGTTCATTTTTAATATATATAAAAAAATTTGTTTAACTTGTACAACTTTGAGGCTTAATTCCTCCACAACAACCATGACATATTAAAATCAACAAAATGGAATGTAACTTGTAGAGAAAGATCTTAGCTTTAAAATTATATCTTTTTTTTTTTAGTTATGGATTTCCATTTTTGGAGGAGTTAAAAATCTGCAAGAATAATAAAAATTGTCCTGCACTGTATTATTACACCTTAACGCCCCTTACTATTAAAATAATAGCATTGTTATTATATGTTAATTTCCTATATAAGTATGCACTTCTTTATAATCCTTCTTTGTGATAAAATACGATTATTTTTGATAATAAATAAATGGCAATTTCTATTTATACATTATGTGTACCAATCCCAAAGGGAAAGCACAACATACTATATATAACGCTAATACTAATACACAACATATTCTAAATTTATTACGACGCGTGTACATTAATAAATAAATAAAAAAACCGGGGTTTTTGTATTAGTAATTACCCAGTTCTTTTTTGAGTTACTGATCGGGTGACACATAATAAATTCAAAATTTTGTAAATTTTGTGCATCCATGCATGTTCTTTGAGTTGGGGCATCAATTATTTTTTCCAAATAAGTGTAACGAAAATCTCTATTTGACCCAAACCAAAATTAAGTTTAATATATAACTTGACCCTAAGGGGGTCTGATTCATTTCGTCGACAACCATTTCGTCGACAATCACTTCATCGACAATCACTTCATCGACAATAATTTCGTCGAAAGTTCATTTTGTCGAAAGTTCATTTCGTCGAAAGTTCATTTCGTCGACAGTTCATTTCTACAACAATTCATGTTAATTTGCATGTATTACAGTGTCACCAATTATGTTTGGAAA